TTTTCCTCATGGCGTCTCACGTCCACGGAGACGAGATATAGTGCTTCTGGTCGAGGACTGCTAGCAGCCTACTGTGCTATCAAACATTTTCTGCACGTAGTAGAATTTCGCGATTTCATTCTATTCACCGACCATAAGCCCTTAACGTATGCTCTGCATACCAAGTCTGACTTCTACTCACCACTAGAGCTTAGGCATTGGGACTATCTCTCTCACTTCACGACAGACCTTCGTCATGTTAAAGGCGATTCGAACTAAGTTGCCGATGCTCTGTCACGTATCCAACTGAATCCGGTTGCTTTACAGCTGCTTGATCTCCTTGCTATGGTTGCCGCCCAAGCAAGTGATCCCTCCTGTACAGAAACACAACATTATACATTCCTTCAGTTCCGAGAAGTACCTCTAGCTACTAGTTCAGGTAATATCTTGTGTGATACTCTTACTGATCTTCCCAGACCCATCGTACCCTCTGCTTATCGTCGTCTCGTCTTTGATGCCCTGCATAGACTGTCTCATCCAGACATGGAAGCCATATTATGCCTCATCTCTGCACAATACATCTGGCCGTTCATGAATAAAGATGTCTGTATGTGGGTAAAACAATGCTCACGATGCCAACGATCAAAAGTACACAAGCATGTAGCTGCCCGCATTTGCACGCTCGCTAAGCCTGATGCTAGTTTCGATCACATTCATATAAACAATGGTGGGAGCATTGCCATCATCTCAAGTGTATGACCACATACTCATGTGCACCGATCGTGAGACAAGATGGCCTGAAGCTATTCACGCCAAGTCTTGTACGGTGGAGACAGTTGCTCATCGCTTCATAGAACGATGAATGGCTCTGTACGGTTGTCCCTCGACTGTCACGACTGACCGAGGACAACAATTTGAGTCCGAATAATTCTCATAGCTGACCCAGCTGCATACGCACTACCGCCTACCACCCAGTATCAAATGTTTCGGTTGAACGATTTCATTGCTAACTTAAAGGTGCTCTTCGAGCACAAGAAAATAACAATTGGTACGAAACCTCACCGTTCGTCCTCTTGGGTATCAGAACGAGCTTAAAGGCAGATATTCAATGTTCTGCCGCTGAACTTTTATTCAGCACGACATGGCGTCTGTCTGGGGAATTTTCCAGACCACGGAGCTGTAACAATTTTGGTAGATCAGACTACGTCCAACGATTGTCCAAATATATGCGGACACTGCCTCCGGTGTCAACTCGTATACAACATTTACAGGTCTCTCTCAAGAGTTATCTGTCTGTTCACATGTTTTCATACGAGTAGATTTGGTACGCAAACCTTTGCAACGGCCTTACGACGGAACCTTTACATGTGATTTTCCATCACGAAAAGACCCCCAAGTTAAGTCGTCACGGCCGCTCCGAGATAGTCAGCATTGATCGCCTCAAGCCAACATACGTCGATAGCAGTTCCTTACCTGATAAGCTGAGACCCAATACTAGACCCATCAAACTTCTAGTGGGATCTCTACATATACTTTGGACTCCTCAATAGATACATCAGAATCCTCATTCTCACGTCCTAGTCAACAGCTCATTCTATTTGTACCACCTACGGATGAGACTTCAGTCTCAAGTTCAGATCAGCAGACCACGCCTCCCTTGACTTTGTATGAGATTGCATCTACGCAAGGTACTAACGAAATTACCGTCTCACGTTCCAGTCGCTGGGTACGCCTACCCGTACGTTTTCTCGACTAACCTCACAATCGACAACGGATACGATATAGGACTCTATCCATATACTACATGCATACTACACCCTTCCAGTTTTCTTTGGTTTTTTTATCCTGAGCCCGCGCCTCCGGTGAAAGCTGACCTGATAACCCAACGCACTTGTCAACACACTCAGTCAAAGTTCTGGCTACGAACTTGTCTGTCATACGTATGGCCTCGAGGCTGGTAGTTATGGTCGCTTGTGGCTTCTTGGCTCAGTGTGGTTCTGTCCTGCACCTGCAGTGTTTTCTGGTTCGGACCCCTACTAAGGTAATCCTCAGATTCTGGATACAAACCACTCTGGCGTTATACGTTAACTCAAGCACCAAATATAGCATGTTACTCCTATAGCCGTGTTACAAAAGAGACCTTCGTTGACAACTCGAGGATCAAAGATCGCTCCCTGTTGGTCAACCCTCTCGTCCTGCAATCGCATCTTTGGCGACCAGTCCCACGAACGAAACCGTCAGTTATCGAAATTGTAAACCCTTTTAGCGGGGGTTTCTTGCAATGACCTACTTTTGTGACGAGAACATGATAGGTATAACGGAAACAATTATTATACCCAATTGCATCAGTTGTTGTTTCACTGCACCTGTTTGTTTCAGTGTACCAAAAAGACACTTTTCCGTTATTTGTGACCTTGTACGAGCTCGCATACACTCAGTTGTCCCGCTTGTAAACTTTGGAACTATCTTGGTTCTATTTCAGTACCACGAGATTGCCAACAAATACATCTTACTACAACCTTCAATCACCTTCTGATATTTGGCCTACGGAGGGATCTAACGTAGTAACTGGTACCGTGGTAGTGATCATAGTCAACTGCGACTCTGTACCTACTACACTATGAACATCCATCACCATGTGATACAAAAATACAAGTTATTTGTGAAAATTCTCCCTAAGTCGACTATGTAAGGAACGATCCAGAAATAGTAACCACAAAGAGTTTGGAAAGCAATTCAAACTACATTGAAGGTGCAGCCGAAATTAATCCATGTCTTTATGTGAAATTAACTTGATGCAATCATCTTAGAATTACTTCTGCCTCTTTTTAAAGTGTAGTCAAGGCCTCATCTTATAACATTTTCCCACCATCTTTCTACAAAGGAGAAAAATCTCCAAATCCAAATACTTAAACGGACAACGAAGTTGTTTATAAAGCTGAGAAACAAGAATGACAAAGAAGATAGACTCATATGCTTCACGTTATTTCCTCTGAACCACAGAGGAACGAAAATTGATCTGCTAATGGCATACAGCACATCATGTGCTCCAAGTCAACCTATCACAAAACCCACTAGAACATCACCGCCGAACTAAATGAGGCAACTATGAAAAATCACACATCAAAGGGCGAAGACCTATCTTTGTAACCACATATATATTGATAGTTGCTCCTGTTTGGAATGCACTCCCAGTCGACATGACAACAGCCCTTCCACTGTGAAGCCATGCTATATGTTGTGCCGGCAATGGGTATTGTCTTGTCATTGCCTATTAGAGAGCAGTGATTTATTGATCGGACCAGTGATACACGAAACCTTCACGAGCAGTCTAGTGTACTTGTCAGTCCTGCCTTCTGCCTAGCCCAGACAGTTAAGTCCAGAACACCAATAACAGGCTCTGCAATATGAATCATCGTATATCAAACATACTTAGTTTATATACTAATCAATCAGATCACATCGTACCATAAAATAGAAAATAACATTTGTACAAGATTTAGCCAAATGTAGGTGTGAATAAGGGGGCGGTAATTAATAGACTGGGTATAATTTAGGAATGGTAAGTCGTACAATAATAGTCTATGAGTCAAAATATAGCTCATAAAAAAAGGAACATGAATATGAATAGTTGAGTTACTTAACAATTATACAGTAGGAAATATAGTTATCATATTGGTCCATAAATAGTTCTAAAAAGTTACCATTCATAATTCACTTCGGGATATAACAAGCTCCAAGAGGAGACTCGAAAAATTCATACTCAGCCAAGTACTGCCATCTCCAGCTTCGGATAGTTTCAATCTATATTTATCTGTTAACTTATCTGGCATCATCATTGTCGCATAACATTTAATTATTTCTATCTTTCTTCCTATAACCCCCCTCTCGTCTACTTTTCGGTTTACTTACACTGTCTGCATTCCTTGTTGATAAATTTCTTTGTTTATCTACTTTCTGGGACAATCGTATTATTTTAGCATTCCAGTTTTCTTATTACTGTTTTTTATGTTAGAACCACCTAACCTCCTGGCTGATAATATAATGACTGCTGGTTCCAGAACCCTACTTTCCTGAGACAAACACACTCAGGTTACAGACAAACCTGCTAATTGTAAGAGAAGGTTGGGCCGCAGCAGAAGATCGAAATATTTTTTTAAATATAATTTTCATATGTCTAAGTAAAGCCTTTTATAAGGTCTTCCGTCCTGGTCTTAAGTCAAAAGTGGAAGTTTGGGAATACAATGCAAGGTCATAGACTGGATAAGTGACTTTCTCAGTGACAGGAGACATAGAATAATGGTAAGTGGAGCTCTCTCAGTGCGGAAACCTGAAAAATATGGAGTTTCTCAAGATACAATCCTTGGTACTCTTTCGCTTTTACTTTACGTTGGTGAATTACCAACTGTAATAAAGTCATCCGTTCTACCCTTTGCCGATGACATTAGGATTTTGAAACCCTTACAGACTATGTCAAACACAATAATATTACAAGATGATCTCAATCCATTGGTTGCATGAATGGGTGGGTGGTCGCTAGAAGTGAATCCTAACAAGAGTGTGGTGATGCAATTAAATAATTTTGATGATTCAAATCACTACTCTATACGAGGAGTTGTGTTACCCGAAAAAATGAACTATAAAGATTTAGGAGTCATAATAAGCTGCGACCTCAGAACCATGAGAAACTACAAGGCTGTTGCAGCCAAAGGCTTTAGGGTATTACGGGTCATTCGTAGGCCTTTGCAGTACTTGGACGAATGAATGCTTAAAGTGTTATACCCGACTTTCGTGAAACTGCATTTGGAATATGGAATTCAAGCAGTTAGTCCTTGTTTCAACTCAACTTATTTCCGTTATCTTACAGTAGATTACGGGGTGATCTAATACTGGCTTATATGCCGAACAGTGACCTTGGTATTTATATGTCTTCTTTTTTCTTTGGACTGAGACTGATCATTTGAGAGGAAATTCTAAGGAAATTTAAAAACCGAGACCAAATCGTCTACTGAGGAATGCCCGCCTTGTATGAAACTAATTAAGGTCGCGTGAACAAAAATGAGGTGGATTTAAACGGCACTTGACATTTCATACATCCTAACTCATGTTTGCTTACAAGAAGATTCCGCGTAGAAAATCTCAGAATCATCACGATGACACTGATGCGAATAGTAACCGGAATAAGCAAAAACTTTTTGTCACTATGTTTGAATCCAAACGAGCGCAGATAATTGTATACTTGCCAAGTAGACGTCTATGTTCTTGCTTCATTTTACTTGGTCATGACACACACCTCGCGGTTTATGGTAAAGCGAGATTTACTCACTTGTGTGGACCAACGATCACTATATGGGGAGGAAATATAGGATCTAATCCTTCCACTTCATTTAATCTTTATTCATCCACTTCACACACTCCATTATCTATTACTCAATGCCCACACGTTGAGTGGAAATATGTACATAAAAATACAACTCAGGGACTTCAATCTTCCGAAACCAAAGTTGCTCTAGAGAATTTGTGTGATCCAAGTGATGTTCAATTTTTGACGAGCCGTCTTGTCAAAGAAATAAGTGCTTTTCAGGAAGATGTGACCATTTTACATTTCAGTCCTTGCCAGAGTCGAGTCCTTGACTCAATTTCTGAGATTAAGCGGTTTCGTTTTTTGTTTCATCTGCCATCAGAAGGCACTGTACCAAATGCCTCCTTAGCTAAATTACTTGGATTCACTTTCCTCGAGCATGATGGAAGCCTTGGATATCAGGTTGCACCAGAAGTTTCACATATTTCACTGAAACTCAACTCTGTCCCCGTAGTTGCTACTCGTGATGATTGTGTGAGGAAATTATTAATTTGTGGTCCGAAGGGTGCTGGAAAATCATCTCTACTGCGTTTTTTATCAAACAAAATTCTTACAGATGTGAAATATCCACTTGAAGAAAAATGTGTTGCAGTTCTTGATTGTGATATTGGTCAACCTGAATTTACTCCAAATGGAATTATAAGTTTGTGTTTGGTCAAACTGCCATTGTTTGGTCCTCCATATACTCATACATTATCCACCAATGTAAATATTCTTCGGTAAGTTCTCAATATAACCTTAAACTGCAATTTTTGATATTTTAAGCACGTTAGACCACTTAAGACATGAATGCTGCCAATCTAAAGCGCATTTATACCAATTTATTCCTTTTTATCTCTTATTTGTAATCACCTATCGTCGATTGATTTGATTTTTCTGTTGGTAGTTCATAACTGATGGTGATTTTAACGCATTAGACTTGCTTGGACATTAATTTAGACCAGCACCAAATAAATGCGAATCTGAAAATTTTCTTTCACAAACTTTGTAAAGTGATAAAGCTGACCGGTTAAGTGCTAAACTGACACTTCATAAAATCATCATTGTTCACACCTTGGTTTCTATTGCACCAGGTAACTTTAAATTTCGAGATTATATTTGTATCGAATTCTGGGATCATACACATGTTTCCTATTGCTGGAAAGACATACATGGTCTTTTTATTTAAGGACGAAAGTAATTTACAGACCCTATATAGTCTTTAAGTTTTGTTTGTCATTATTTGGTGTTTTTATCTAGTTGATAGGATCATTATACCTTTTCGGCTCTTAGTAATATGCTGTAATGCCTAAATACATGAAGATACAGTTCCTTGAAATTAGGCCGTGGTATGTTGTAATACCACGCTTCATAGTGTTCTAACCGACCGAGTCTCAGGAAGATAATCTATATCATTTGTGCTTGAAATCAAAATTATCTCATCTGAACGATGCAGTGATGCCTCCAGTTCCGAAAAGCCTTTGGATCGTTTGTCTTTGGGTTCTCTTTATTTTTACTTGAACATCTGAATATTGGTAGAAGGAAGCTTATTTTTTATTCGTTTAAACACATAAATATTGGTACAAGAAAGCACCAGATAAATATGCGCCTCACAAATCTCATTCGATTTGTGTGAGGGCTGTGATACTGCTCAGGTGCCCAGACTGAAGCAGGTGGTTTTCTTAGGGGGCCACACCCCGAGCCTTTGACCTAAAGGTCTAGTCCACAAGGCAGTGGAGCATCGTAAGGAGATGCAGTCCCATGGTAGCCGGTGACCAACAGTTGGTTCAAACGCCATTCGTTCCATCAGGATACTGGAGCCCATGTGCACCATTGGTTTAGAATGAGGGTTTTCCAACTCCCCTAAGTGAACTTTCCGCGTCCATCAACCCGGTTAAAGCGCCGGACATTCGCTTTTCGTTCTCTCACTTTTGTGAAAAACACCCGTGGTGCGAGAAGGCAGTGAGTAGGACTTCTCTGACAGAGGCTATATATTCGCGTGGCCATATGAGAGCATTTCGAGAGGGAGAGCAGACTCTCCCCACTCTCGGCCGTACCAGGGCATTTGGGGGCCAGATATATATGCGCCACACAATGAGAATGGGAAGAGAAAAATGGTTTAACGTGCGTATGAGAGAAGACAAATGAAGAACAACAAAGACCACAAATTACTGTATGGTAGTGTAATAATAGTCGTTGTGGAAACGGAAATGTACAACCAGAAGAATTCTTTCATTTAGAGAAGTTACAACCACTTTTTTTGAAGAAAGTAAGAGAAGGTTGCAGTAGGATCGCCACTGGCTTCTATTCTGAGCTTCATCTGATAAAATCTCTAGCCACTGTGTTGCGCCGTCTTTATGACCCCAGCCAGGGATTCGGAAAGGACCAACAGAAGCCAGCCCTTTGCAGCTATCCTTAATACCACGACACCATGTCATACACAGACCACCCCTCGGCTTTTTCCAACCAGTCCCAGCGTCGGCAAATAATGCACGACTTGGAATTCTCTGGGACGACATTTGTAGAACATGTCCAAGCCACCGAAGTTTATGTTTCAAAATTTTGACACAAATTGGACTATCGTCACTGAGCTCAAACACATGATGCCTAACCTCTGCATTACTAATATGGTGTTGCCACTGGATGTCAGTAATCCTTCGGAGACAACTATGATCAAACACAAAGAGTGATCTAACATCCTCAACTCGGAGAGGCCACAAGCATAGAGCCAAACTGTTCTCACCGACGCGTTGTAGAACTGACCTCTTACAGCCGACTAACATCACGAAGTCACCAAAGATGACACAGATTGCCATAAGCCGCTCTGGCTTTCGCTGTACGTGAATCCATCTCATCACTCACGCCACCACCAGCACTTACGCACCTACCTGGATACACAAACTTCTCGACTACTATCTGCTTACTACCCAGGGTGAGTGCAGGATCAGTGTCCCATTAATCTTTTGTGAGTACTTTGCACTTGAAAGGTGCAAAGTACATGCCATACCTACAGAAACCGATTGCCAACTGACTAAGTGCGCATTGCATGGCTCAGGCATTATCGCACAATAAGACAATATCATTCGTATACTCAAGATCGAGAAGTCTTTCCCCAGGCAATAGATCCACACCACCATTACTTACATCCGTCAGAGCTGTTTCCAGTATGTCATCCATGGCAAAGTTGAAGAGGAATGGTGTGATTGGGCAACCCTACCTAACCCCACTGTTTGAATCGAACAGTGGGGGGAGGTAGTCGTATGCCCTCACTCTGCCTGAGGTGTTTGTATATAAGGCTTTTGGGATGTCAATAAACTTCCGTCACACCCTTCTTCAATAGACAATCCCAGAGAACAGTCCTGTCCAACGGATCAAAGGCAGTCCTGATGTCAAGAAACACTACAATTGTTGGCCTGTGATAAGTTTGACAGTGTTCTAACATTTGGCGGAGGGTAAAGATATAATCAATACATCCTCGAACAGAACGAAAACCAGCCTGCTCCTCAAGAGTCAATCTTTCTCGGGTTTTAAACAACCTACGAATTATGACAGAAGCCAACAGTTTGGACGCAATCGGAAGTAGACTTATCACCCGATAGTTGTTACAAAAACAACGTAAACCCTTTTAAAGATAGGGGCAACTATCGACTCATTCCAAGATGTTGGAACACTCTCTAACTCCCAAACCTTTGTAAACAACGTTGTCAGTTCCTTAACCAGAAAGTCACCATCATCTTTAGGAAGAGCCGGAGGTAAGTCATCTGAGCCTGGTGAGTCATAGCGCTTTAAGAGTTGGAGTTCCTTTATTTTTTATTTATTTTAAACACATAAATATTGGTACGAGAAAGCACCAGATAAATATGCGCCTCACAAATCTCATTCGATTTGTGTGAGGGCTGTGATACTGCCCAGGTGCCCAGACTGAAGCAGGTGGTTTTCTTAGGGGGCCACACCCCGAGCCTTTGACCTAAAGGTCTAGTCCACAAGGCAGTGGAGCATCGTAAGGAGATGCAGTCCCATGGTAGCCGGTGACCAACAGTTGGTTCAAACGCCATTCGTTCCATCAGGATACTGGAGCCCGTGTGCACCATTGGTTTGGAATGAGGGTTTTCCAACTCCCCTAAGTGAACTTTCCGCGTCCATCAACCCGGTTAAAGCGCCGGACATTCGCTTTTCGTTCTCTCACTTTTGTGAAAAACACCCGTGGTGCGAGAAGGCAGTGAGTAGGACTTCTCTGACAGAGGCTATATATTCGCGTGGCCATATGAGAGCATTTCGAGAGGGAGAGCAGACTCTCCCCACTCTCGGCCGTACCAGGGCGTTTGGGGGCATTTGGAGTTCCTTGCGGACTTCCACCCTATTTGGTGGGTCAGTCGTCACGGGACATGGAGGACAGGACAGTCTGATCGATGTTGCCGTACCAGCAGGCCAGTTAAACTGTCCTTCAAAAAATTCCGCCCATCGTCCAAGTCGTCGACAGATGTTAGTAATTGGCATCCCGTCATCCTCGCAGATTGTTTCGCTCACACCACAATTCTTGCTGCCAGCGGCTCGGATGAGTCGGAAGAGCTTCCGGTAGTTGCCAGATGCAGCTGCTGCTTCCAACTGATTGGCAAGCTCCGACCACCATGCTTATCGGTCCTTACTCAAGTTTTGCCCAATTCCATTACGTAACAGTCGTCGTTTGTGGTCAAACTCACGGTCACTCGTAGTGGACCGACGCTCTTCAATGAGTTGTAGGGAGCCTGAAGAAACCTAGCTTTTACAAGCGGGGCATTTCGCGAAGCCTCAAGGGACTTTACTCTCCATTTTCATGGCATCATGTAGTTGCAACCAATGCTCATCTATACTTCTCGGTGCGATGGTAACTAGCCGTGAACCTAGCTCGGTTCGATACTTAGTTGTAACAGAAGATGCAACCAACTTACTGACATCAATCCTTTTCTGACGATCAATTCGTTGGCCACGGAACAGTAAGGTAAGATTGGCGCAAACCAGGGCATGATCAGAGTCCAGATAGGTACTCGAAAAGGAGCGGCAGTCTTGTACACAACTACGCCAGCGGTAGCTGACCGCGATGTGATCAATCTGAGTCCAGGCTTGAGATGCAGAGGGAGGACTCCAGGTGGCACATCGGCGATGATTATGCCGGTAGTTGGTGCTAGCCAGAAACAGGTTGGGGTTTACGCACAGTTGTAGTAGATAGTCTCCGTTATCTGTCCTGCCACCAACAAGTCCACATCAGCCACCTAAACGACTCTCTTCTGTGCCTAAACGCCCGGACTGAGCATTCAAGTCTCCGGCTAGTACTACAATATCTGTCGAACTCACTTTCTGTAGAAGAACAGTTTACTGGTGGTAAAATCCATCATTGATCGCATCCGGGCTGCAATCTGTCGGAGCATAGGCGGAGATGACAAAAAGACACCGTTTCTCACGCCGATTTCTTCTCACTTTGATGGAACTTTCTAATCTAACAGCACATAACCGACTGTTAATGGGGATCCAATCAATTGGTGCTGCCTCAGCTCTAGCGCTTAGTGCGACACCAACGCCAGCTAAACCAGACGAAGATGCCACAGGGTTCCCTGATAAATGCACGTAAAACAAGCTTTTCGAAGTGACAGATAGCGAGCGAATTTGTAGGACTTCACCAGAATCTCGAATACGGGTCTCGGATAGACAATAGACGTCGATATTAAGGCTTTCTGAAGACATAACCAGCCTTATCCGCTGTCCGATCTGTATTAGTGTGCGAACGTTGAAGGAGGACAGTTTGAATGGTGTACGTGGTTTCAGAAAAACTGTTTTAGTATTTGTATTCGGTAGCAGCATTCAATTTTCAACCAATCAGTGACTCGAGATCGTTTAGATAGAACATAATTTCCTCCATAAGCGAGCTGCTGTATAAGTTGAAAAGTAAAAATACTCAAGGTGAAAATGGAAGAGGGTGGATAAGTGACGTAATACAAAAAAATAAAAATAAAACTGGATGTTATCAAATGGGTATAGGTTATTTAAACTGTAAAAAGAGTGTGATTAGTATATCCAGAGATCATTGTCATTTCATTTTAATTGTGTTAGAGCTATGATGCTTCCCGGGTGCCCAGACCGAAGCAGGTGGTTTTCTTAGGGGGTCACACCCCGATCCTTTAACCTAAAGGTCTGATCCACTAGGCAATGGAGCATCATGAGGAGATGCAGTCCCATGGTAGCCACTTGTTCCCTCATGATCCTGGAGCCCACGTGCGCCATTGGTTTCGAATCAGGATTTTCCAACTTCCCTAGGTAGACTCTCTGTGTCCACCCACCCGGTTAAAGCGCCGGACATTCGCTTTTCGTTCTCTCGATTTCGTAAAAACAGTCGTGGGGCGAGAAGGCAATGAGTAGGATTTGTCTGGCAGTAGTTTTATACGCGTGGCCATGTGAGAGCATTTCGGGAGGGAGAGCGGACTCTCTCCACTCTCGGCCGTACCAGGGCATTTGAGTTCTCTTCACTTCAATGTCCAAGTGATTTCCAAATTAAGTAATTACTGTCCATCATAGTTGGTCTCTGCTAGTTCTTTTTTGATACCTATTTTATATTGCATTTGAAAGTAATTATCATTCTGATTGTTTTGTACCTACTCTACGAATTAAGGTATCATATCTTCCGTGTTCTTTGTTTTGGGGTTTCTAAATCGTTCTTCCTCATCATCTCTCTGAATCCATGTGAATCTTTCTGGTTATCTATTTTATTCTAGTCAGTGTTTTGTCGGTTGCATTACACCCTCTGATGATCCCAGTTTCTACTTGAAATGCCTCAACTTTGTATATGATGCTTACGTTAATTTACCTGAACCAAAACCGCGTTTACTAGTCAACACAATGGGCTGGATGCAAGGTATGTTTTTAGCCACAGTTAATCAAAAACTCATGTTTTCATGTTTATCGCAATGCCTATTTCCACATAAATTTTTCTCCGAAATACTTTATTGGACGACGTCAGTAATTTTAAGTATTTTTACACAACCCACCGTGAAACAAAATGCAAATATGTTCGCTTATGCATTTTGATTAGGAAAGTTCATTGTTTTTTCGTAACCGGACTATCATCCAAGTTAACCGTCTTTTTTAATTGGTACGTTTGACATTCGCAGGTCTTTTTTGTTATCAATATTTATAACACTTTATTGTAATTTACAGCACAATCCATTGCCTAGAATCCTAGATATAGCACACGAAAGCCGCCAAATGCTCTAATACGGCCGAGGGTCGGGAGGGAACGCCTTCTCTCTCGAAATGCTCTCACACGGCCACGTGTATACAACCACTGCCAGACAAATCCTACTCATTGCCTTCTCGTGGCGGGGTGTTGTTTACGAAATCGAGAGAACGAAAAGCGAATGTCCTGGCGCCTTAACCGGGTCGGTGGACACAGTTGGAAAAACCTGATCCAAACCAATGGCGCACATGGGCTCCAGGATCCTGAGGGAACAAGTGGCGTATGAACGTATTGTTGGTCACCAGCTACCATAGGACTCCATCTCCTCACGATGCTCCACTGCCTTGTGGATCAGACCTTTAGGTTGAGGGCTCGGGGTGTGGCCCTCTAAGAAAACCACCTGCTTCGGCCTGGGTACCCAAGTAGTATTCCAGCCCACACACAAATCAAGTTGCTTATGTGGCGCATATGTATTCGGTGCCGATTTGTACCAATATTTGTTTAAATAAATAATAAATAAAACACAAGTGTCTGCTAAACGATGGATCAGTCAATATACCAAAAAGGATCCACTTAGTATTATGTTTCACAATTCTAAAAATGAACTTCGACATAATTATCCCAGATTTTACCCTTCTGATCCCTACTAACTACTAGAATTTATATTGTTTGGATCAAAAAGTTATTTTATCGCCATATGAAGCTTCAGTGTCATATTATTCAATTTATATCGTGTTTGCGAAGTACCTTGACATTCGAGTACGTAGGATTTTTCAGAAAAGCTTAAGGTTTCGTTTCCGATTTTCAGTTTTAAGACAAACCAAGGCTTGTCATTAGTCCGTAAAGTCACCGAATAGTGGTATACACATTTTTGTTAGATTATCTGTTTAGGACCGGGCGATAATCTTGATCAGTGGTTGCAGATTTTAAGCGTCGTAGTTCAAAGTCGGTCACCGTAGCACAAATGGACCATTTCTTTGTCTACTCCTAAGTCTCGAGTTTCGGCATTATCTCATATTTCCTCTCTCGGATTACATTTCTTATTTCCGACCCTTCCTAGCATTGATTCCATTACTGCTTTTGATCATCTTTGTATTTGTGTCTATAATTTCATCTCTCTGTGCCAATGTGATCTAAATCGAACCGATGGACATCTGCAACAGATTTCACGTGGCTTATCACCACCAACTAAATAACAACAATGTGGAAGCTCCTCAATTATATCTTTCTACCAAACTGACTGGCTATTAGGTTATGTCAAATCTAATGATCAGATTTTGTAGTTTTCGTAACATATTTACGATATTTTTTTTATTTATTTAAACACATAAATATTGGTACAAGAAAGCACCAGATAAATATGCGCCTCACAAATCTCATTCGATTTGTGTGAGGGCTGTGATACTGCCCAGGTGCCCAGACTGAAGCAGGTGGTTTTCTTAGGGGGCCACACCCCGAGCCTTTGACCTAAAGGTCTAGTCCACAAGGCAGTGGGGCATCGTAAGGAGATGCAGTCCCATGGTAGCCGGTGACCAACAGTTGGTTCAAACGCCATTCGTTCCATCAGGATACTGGAGCCCATGTGCACCATTGGTTTGGAATGAGGGTTTTCCAACTCCCCTAAGTGAACTTTCCGCGTCCATCAACCCGGTTAAAGCGCCGGACATTCGCTTTTCGTCCTCTCAATTTCGTAAACAACACCCTTGCCATGTATCATATTTATGATAAATTTAGAGCATTGTGGGTACACAAACATCCCGAATGTGCATGCAAATATTTATTTGATTAACGGGATTTTATGTTACTCTCCATAGGTACCAGCTTTTAACATATAACAAATAAGATAAGTTTTCCGAGTACTGATACAATGTTTTTCATTCATTTATTTTGCTGATAAGACATTTTGAAATACAGGTGCAGTATAGTTTCGTGTCATGGTTTGCAGGCTCGGACGATCTTCCCCCGAATCATTTTAAGGATGATGGCAAACTGACCTACGGATGACGAGTTTATGACATGTCACTGTGGAGTGAAAGAAAGTTTTATAGTGCTAGGATCTGTCAATTCATCATAACCCCCTTGTTAGGGTCGGAGAAATAGTGCAGTTTAGTGATTTGAGACGTTAAATGATATGGCTCAAAATAAAACCAGTGGGGCTCCTGCTGTAGCTTTTATATATTTATAGAGAATGAAAGGAACTCCCTTGTTTGAAAGAGCTGTTACTCGGTTGTATTGCTGTCTGAGCTGTATTTCCCATTACATACTGTCTTAAGCTACTGATTTCTTGTTTTCGACTTTATTTCCTTCACCATGTTACTCTGTAATTGGGTAGCCCATATCTATTTTGTCGCCAGTTGTACAAAGTTTAGTATATTGAATAAATAAAACTGATGTCAAGTGTAATATTCAAAATAAGTTTGCTCAGGTGCTATGTACATAAAATATCATTATTGTTGTACTCCCAGGGCTTGGATTAACATTGTTGTTGGAGCAAATACTGTTAGTTAAACCAGACCTAATCGTTCAGCTTCGTCTTACGGGATCTTCAAATAATCGCACAAACGTTCCAGATCTAAATAGTAGTTCGTTAAAAACTATGGACACCTGGAATTCACGGGTAAGTCGTCTTTTAATTAGACACACATAGTTCGTACTTTGAATTTGTGAGTAGATAATTTAAGCCCAGTTTATTAAATGATTCTGTATTTCCACCCTATGATAGTCACCTTAATCTTATACAGGAACATCTATTTCCTCTAAACACCTGGAATCTACTCCGAAATATATATTGTGTTTTTTAAAATCTATTATATGCTTCATAACTGACGTGACAGACATCCGGTTTTTTCTGTCGGCTTTTCAAGGTAATTATAGGTCTAATCGAATTCCATGTACTTGTTTGTCAATAAGTTCTGTCAGTTCCACTTTCTTAATGCTATGTATAGATTCCAAATATTGGGATTTTTGTGATCACAAGTACGTGTACTGAAAACAAAATATCTTGGCAGACCATATAGTTGCATCGTAATCAAACAGTGTTAATGAAACTGCCATGTGGTTGTGAAACCAAAGTATGACTGGTCAATGAGTGTGAACAAACAGGTACTATTAATGCTGTGATTCGGTAATGTGTGTTGAGGGAGCATTGTTGACAGCTCAATTAATGTCATCATCTTGGAACATCGGCTTCAGTTTCTTAAATATGTCTTAAGGATGTCATACCAGTGACTTCCATACCGTACATTATCTGATGACTGAGATTTAATGGTGAAGGTGAACTGGTAATCAGTTTATGACATGTCACTGTGGTATGAAAGGAAGATGTTTAGGATCGCGATTTGTCAATCTATGACGACTCTTTTGCGTAGGTCAGAGAGATGGTGCGATTTAATGTTATATGGAATGGCTCAGAATAGAAGTGAATATCAATCTTCCTGTAGTTTTCTATCATACTCCTCATAAAAGTGGGTTGAGCGTTAACTGATATAAGTGTTTGTTGGCTGTATTTTTTATTAAACCGCATCTTCACTAATTTATCGATTCGGTTACTGTTCCTCTTTTATTTTATCACGAAAATATTTCATTTGTTCGGTGCTTTCTTGCACCAGGATTCGTGTTGTTAAATAAACAAATATGATCCAAAATCGTTGTTAAGTCTAACGGGTCGTTTCATTTGTTATGTTTCTTCATGTTTTCTATCTTCTATGTGATTTAGTGTCTTACAATATATCATTTCAGGTCGCTGTTCACTGCTTAATAATAGTAATAATTTAAATTTTAGCAACACATTGCTTGTTATCCGTAATGCTAACTTAGCTATTTTCTTTTTTCTACAGGACATTTCCAACGAAACATTCAATCATGATGTGATTCTTATAGAATCTAACATCAAATTGTATGTTATATTTACTAATGATTGATTGGTATTTAAAGTTATATGTTTATGTATAAAACCTAGGTTAAACTTCAATAAATCCATTTGTAACATATTATTCATTGTATAACAGTGTTTCATTTTAAGTAATGATTGTATATCAGTGATGAATATTTTTGTGACTAAATATACTTTGCATGTATTCTTAACGATATATTCCGTTATTTTGTATGTGTACAACATATTCTGCATTGATCCCGTTCTCACACTATAGCATAATTTGTTTCCTTTTTGGATTTTTAGAAATAATTATCTGTTTCCTATCAATAATACTACTGCCCAGATTACTTAAATTGGGTTGGAGTAATATTTTTTTAGTTAATCTTTATGATAGAACAAGCTCATTTTGGAAAATGATTTTAAATGTACACAATTTGCTAAACTATTAGATTAAATTTATACCAATATGCTGAAATAATTAATTTTCAGTCTATAATAACACTGAAAAATTATCGTTGTAACGACATCAAACGATTTTTAGATCAGATAGATTGTGTAGATTTTGTGTCCTTTACAATTTATTTATTAATATTAATATGAAAAATTATACATCTGTTACGCAACTTTTAGCTAGTTTACTACTGATAGGCAAAGTCTTAGGCATTGAAAGCATCTATTGTGTATATCCTCCTTCTTTGTTCTTTCTGTCGGGTAATTTTTATTGCCAAACATTTTGACCTTTTACAGTCATTACTCTGTGTTGAGTGTAATTTTCTGAGATTGAAACACTTAGTTCTTTCATTTACTTAATTATTGGTCCGCAGATTTATACATGAGTTTTTGTTTTCTAGGATTGACTTAGTAAGTGTAAAGTTATATGGTTATCATCTACTTGTTACGTTTGAGTACAATATATGATTAGTTAGTAACTGAATCAATTATTCAATAAACTAAGAATTCGACCATAAAGCACTGGGTTGTAGTTTGGAACTTTATGTCACCTATTATGGTTCGGGCAGCTGAATACTACCAGGTTAAAATTATGGCTTAAAGTCAAGTGCACGATTCTTTAACTGGTTAGTAAGTACCATTAAAGTAAGTAGCGAGAATCGTAAATTAATCTTATGGATGTTTCATTTGTCGATATTATTCAAAGACTCCAGCTATAATTATAAAACTTTTTTAATTCAAGTTCTGTTGTCTAAGATACTGTTTTAGGGCTGATGTGCGCCAACGCCTAAACTAATGATAGGCAGTAAATTAGTTCAGCATGTCTACCATTTCACTTCCTGGTCACATCAGCCCTTGTGGATTAGTATCTGATATGATTTTAGCACGGGATTAGAAAGCATGGCTGGCCATTGTCAACATGTGGCGTTGGCGAGACTTCTACCTCCAAATCAAAGGACGACTACACTGAACAGCGGTTTCTTCTATCATACTTTAAGGCTGAAAAATGTAGTTTTTAAAAGAAAGAATATTCATAGTTTACGAGTGTCTAATCATGGATGTCTTTGAAGCATTACTCGTGTGTGTTGGAACCACCGAGTAAGTAATGTTGGGGTTAAACACCGGTTACTGGTTAAGAATCACAAGCCAATTAGTGAGGTATTGAATATTTATCGGGACATGTATTACGTATGCCCAACTACCGCCTACCTCGATGGACAATAATAGCTGGTGCAGGAGTAAGCTGTAAGAAAGCTAAGAGTGTCAAACTAAAATGTGGCATTAGTCCATGAAATTATTGACTGTTGGAGTGGGACGTTTAAGTAGGTGCAGACTATTTGTTTGACTAGAAACATTAAGTGACATGACTCACAATCGGTCGCAATGATGCAGGTGCCTTCACTCTTTGTCTTCCCTTAGATCTTAAGCTTCATAAATATCTCGAAGGTATTTTTATTGCACAAATCTATATTTTCTGGTCAAATTATATATTCTATGCATAATCTTTTCTAATACCACTAAAATTGTTGCTACTCATATAACTGTAACATGTTGTGGTGATGTGGTGTAACAATTTGAACTGATCCACAGATACGCTAGGTTCTATGTTGCTTATAACTAACTAACCGTTCTTAGACATTGGATAATCATTTTTCTTGATCTGTAAGTATGATGTTTTAAATATCACTAAATATAGTAATCATCATCAACAATCTTTTCTATCATAACTTTGTTTGTTAATCGTTTGTTTATTGTTAAATGAGCTGTCTTCATCACATAACAGCTCATTTTCAAGCCTAGCAACAACCAGAATAGGAGATTAGTTATTAGTTTATTCAACTTGTTATCACTCAATTCAGTAGTTCTGAAAACTTATTTAGCAAGTTGGTATAATTTTATAGAAATGGACTACAGAATGTTTATTGCTCGTGAGGAAATATATTTAATAATATTAGCAATAATGATATTTTTTGCCAATATCAATCTAGTTGATCCCGCTGGAAGAAACTTACAAATGATCATCAGATGACTATAGTTATTCTGTTGTTTAAATCACGCGGTTATTGCTTTTATAGATATAAATGTTATTTAAATTCATGTTTAAGTGTAAACTAAGACAAAGTATATCGATCTCAATGGCCGTTATCCTAGAATCCGTAAATATGTGTTATTATTCATGATTTAAATGTACAATACATATTTATTTCTATCCTTTGAAACAGATAAATACTTATACGTCATATACGTTTGTGGATACATTTATAGTTTTTCGTATACCATTTTATAAACTTTCGAATCTACTTAATATTAGTTATTCTCAGTTTTAAGTAACATCGTTAATAAAAATCTTTTGCATGGCTAGTCAACCAGTTTTCATCATATTTACGACAAGATTATAATACTGTTCATTTTCAAGGTGTCAGTTACAAGAAAAATCCATTTGTCTAAAGTATACACCACAGTAATACAATGGTGAAATAGCTCATATAAATTTTCGAGTGAGAAATAAAGTTTTCATGTTTGAAACAATTATTATAGTTAGATTATTACTTTTAGCACAAATCTCTTTGTATAAATTTGGTATGAAAAAAGTTTGTTTAAAGTTATATCACCCATGTAAAATCTTTAGATAATGCACCAATTTTTTTCAGATCAACAGTAACCTAATCACTGATTTAATTTTTTGGTAATAGTCCTTTTCGGTTCTTCGTACTTTAAGTTCTCACATTGGTATTCGTGTTGCCCACGATAAGTTTTTGTTGATGATTCACTGATATACTATTGTTAATGCATAAATAATGTCTATGTTAATATGCACAGAATTTGGGTTATGACTATTTCCAGCTTTCATTTTCTGTACATATTGTTTTAGATACAATGATAATACAATAAATGACCCACGATACAATCTTGGTCCTCCTGATCATCGCGATTTAATGATGCTGACTTATTTTATGTCTACTTTGGCTTGTGCATATACTAGCTTACCTTCTAGATTAAAAGATGAATCTCTTGGACATCCAGTAGCACATTTGCTGGATTGTATCCCTTACCAAGTTCCTGTTACTGTTCCATCTAAACAACAAAATGCATGTGAAAATGTAAATGAACAGAAAAATGTAATACTCAGTAGCTCTGTTTCTATGTCCGATGTTCAGCACAGAACATTAGAAATTGATTCGTTAAACACTAATAAGAATGATTCAAATCACTTGGCCTTTCGGATAATGCGCCCAGATTCTAAACTATTTGCAGAAGATTCTGCTTTTCCATCAAGTGTCGATAATTTATTAGCTTGTTTAAATGCTACTCTAGTTGCCCTTTGCGTTGTACCACAACATAATGTAAGTTCTGCATGTATAGAAACATCCGTACTATATAATATTATATATTTATGCCTTAACTATTAACCACTATGTGCTTTTCAGTGATTTTTAATTCCATCTTGTGTATGTGTAAGTTTAAATTTTAAAATCGTTTTATTCATCATATTGCCTTTATGGTTTTGTTATGCAAGTTTGTTAAAACCATAAACTTACCACACCTAGTCAATCATCCCTATTATTAAAATGAAATTAACATAGTGAATTAGTTTGCCTTACATTTATACATACGACTGTTTATACTTTAAATCATTGTTCATGGAAATTTGCTTTAAATCTTCTTATCATGACAATAAAGTTCGATTGATAAATCCGTAACTAGTTTTTTCTGTTATATCCTAACGAAGTATAAATGAATGGTAACGGCTAGAAATTATTTATGGACTAATATTATACATATATTCTTATTGTATAACTATTAAGTAACTAAATTATATTTATATTCATATTCATTTTATTATAAGCTCCCATTCGACCTATTGACTGCTATTATACGATTGAATATTCTTAAGTTATCCCTGATCTACAGCCTCCCACACTCACAGCCACTTTTTGGCTTGATCTTGCATAATTGTTATTTTCTATTTTATGGTATGATGCGGTCTGGTTTGTTTGTATATAAACCCAGTGTGTCTGAACTATATGATTCATACGATGGAAACTGGGATTTGTGTTCTGGGCTCAAACGGATAGGGCTGGATGAGAAGAACCAATAAGAATTCAGAATTGACTCTAGGCTGCTCGTACCCGTTAACACGTCATTGGTTTGACACAGTGCTAGGATTATATAAGTCGTATTCTGATTGGCAATCACAATACGTGATAATTAACCGGGCAAAAGACAGGACATTTTCCTTGCTTTGTTATAATTTAATATAATCACTGAAGATGTGATTTTTTCTATGATTCCTTTACCATATTTAAAGTTAATCATATGATCTGTGGCAACAGTTTTTCATCATAAGGCCTAGTGATTTAATTCTTCATTTGTAACTGTAATACCTAGTGAGAGGAATTAACTAAAATACTTGTTTAAATTATACTTTCCATTTTAACATTTATTGCGAATGAATTTCTGGATATTCGTTCATGTCTCAGATACAAGGTATAATCTCTCATCTGACAGATTTAAACTGAGAATCCTCTTTTTTGTTTTGACTAATCAAGGAAATTATGGTATTAAACAACAAACAACTCTTGAAAAATTAATTATTTCATCTCATCATTTTATTATAAATAGTCAATACCCTATTATTTGATCCCTGTCTAGCTGACTAACCATGACATAATTCTCTTTATGTTTAAACGTCGTTGTAAGGGAAAATATGAATAACATCTATTTCATTTGCTGAAAACAAAATGTGCACAAATAACTTGACATTTCACGAGACTAATCATTTAATATGCACATCTATTGTCATCTAATATTCTACCAAAGTTTAATGAAAATACTATTAGTAGAAAAATAAAATATTATTTTTTTAGCTACAGACAATTTATTTAAGTCGATGTACAGGTCAACTGATCACACATGTAATATCCTATCAATGAAAGTAAGGAATATCAGGTAACTGTCATTTTTATTTTATAGGTTACACGTATTGACAAATTAAACTGGGTACTACGTGTTAGACATAGCTCCTCTCCTACGCTTAAGTTTGTTAACGTTTACATTTTTCAATCCCTTCAGTTAATTTATATCACAGACCGTGTTATTCTAACAGTAGCAATTTGTATATCTTGGTATTATTATCATGTTTGTGTGAATATGTATGTTTGATTCGCTTCTGCATTCACTCACTCGCTTGCATTAGCGTTTTTGCTCTATTTCTTTTGGTGTGCTTATGCCTTAATGACCTGTACTGTTCAATAATATACTTAATTCGGCTCTTCGTGTTGCCTACTGAGTTTGTAAACAGTTTGGATCTTTATAAAAAAAGATGGATAGTGGCTAGTAGTGGAATCCAGGGCGCACGTTTCGTCCTATTTGGGACTCATCAGCTGGATGTACCCGCATCTCAGAGTTGATGTTCACTCTGGAACTCGAACCCAGTACCGTTCGCTTCGAACGCCATCGCGTTATCCACTTAGCTACTGAGTCCTGGTAGCCACTTGCTTGTGGAATGGGGTCAAGTTATATTCACTTGGTGTTGTTTACTTGTATCTTCCCACTGTTAATTTGAACTGCAATTGATCAGTCTCTCGTTGGCATTTGTGCATCCTTTGCGAACTGCCTCGATATTTCCTGAAGTCACAAGCGAACGGTAGAGGGAATTTCACGGGTCTCCTTCATGTATTCTTGTTCGATCGTCCTCAATAAAATGGTCTGGAACGCATACAGAATATTGTTCAGGACCGCATTTTGGATTTAGGATTCATGGGGAAATGGTGGTTCATGTCACACTACATGGACAACTATGACATCAATTCTGACTAATGAGAAACTCCAAAAATCTTCGAGTTCACCAAGAAAGAGACCAACTAATAACAGTTATAAAGCTTGTGACTTCAGGCAGTATCGATGTATTCCGCACAAGATGCACATATGCCAAAAAGAGACTGATCAATTGCAGTCCTAAATAACAGTGGGAAGATACAAGTAAACAACACCATGTGGGTTTCGATCTATTTAATAACGGTTACCGCGGCAATTGATATACAGAGTCAAAAGATTTATCTCGAATATAGTCCATTACATAGGTTCTGCGTTGTATTTGACTGACTATTGGTGATTTGATGGGCATTGACTTAGTTTATTTCGTCAGCTTGGTTCATTTCGTTTGATTCCATACTTTTGTGATTCAATATTTTACCTTATTTTGTAGATAACTGAACCAGATTCTACTTGCATGTATCGTTGGATATCATCTAATCCGGTTTGTGAGTGTGTAGGTCTAGGTGAGTTATGAATTTGTATATACATGAAGTTTACCATATAACATGAAAATGATACTGATGAATATACGTACTTATTCTTTGCCAGTTTTCATGATAAGTTATATAAAGTATTCTAATTACAGTTCCTCATGAAATTTATTGGTGTTTCAACAGCTAATATCAATTCAATGTTATATATTTTTGAAAATTTGTCCTTTGTTTTGTCTATTCGATTCATAGAAGCAAAATCCATTTCTGATTATTTAGTCACATTATTTTCCTCATCATAAGTCACATTTTTGAATGTATTCTCAATATTATTAGGTGGTCGGTGGTAGTTTACAGGATGTACTTGGCATAGGTTTCGTGCTACATAACACTAGTCAGCATGGCATGTCTATAGTTGTTATAACGAGAAATATAGCGTATTGCGATAGGACTACGCGAAATTCTACCGATTGACCAAATTCAGATATCCTAGTTCGACCCCAATACTGTTTCCCAACTCCAATAAATCAGAACACAGCCGTTAAATGAGAATTGTTTATGGGGTCAGCAGCAGAACAAAAATGGTTTACAGACAAGGCATATTTATACAGTTACGATGACTATTAACAGTACCCAATGGAAAGAAAGGACACGTAAAGGTTATAATTAGGACGACTCAAAATTGACCAATAGGGAAACGACACATGAAAGTCATAGTTAGGACACTGTAAATAATGGCCAATAGGAAATAACATGCGAATTATGTGAAGAGTCTGGAAACATACCATTTTACATTCGAGATAATTTTTGGGATATTCTTGTGAATATCCTAACACCTCCCCTTGGAAAAAATTACTAGCGACGCAATCGTGGGTTTACCTGAAAGTTCTTTGGTTTTCTGCGTTTGCGTGCCGACCTCCTTCGAGGTAACGACCGAGAACTTGAAGAATGTTCTGCTTGATTAGATGACTGAGTTGCCTCCGTTGTAGGTATTGGCGGAAGTTGGAAAGTATCCAGTAATAAATCGAGTGGGACGCATTTCGTAACTTCAACTTTTTCCTTGGATTCTCTTGGCCTTAGTTGATTATGGTGCCTGGTCCAGATTTCTTTGTTTACTCTGACCTCATACATGACCTTCCCCTGTCTCTTTGCGACTTCCCCCTCTATCCATCTATCATACCCATGTCCATAGTCCCGCACATACACTTTTGCGCCAACTTCGTAAAGAATTCGGGTATTCTTCATGTGAGAACTCTGCTGGGCTACTCGCCTGGGTGTCATTGCACTATGAATTGTTCGTAGCTTCCATCCCATAAGCACCTCCGCAGGGGATTTGAAGTTTGGCAATAAATCATGAGGAGTCGTCCGGTACACAATTAGAAACCGTTCTATAATATCATGTGTTGTTCCCTCCCCTCTTGCCTTAAGCATGGCACGTTTGAATGTATCGACGAAGCGTTCAGCTTGTCCATTAGATTGCGGATGGTAGGGCGGAGAACGGACATGATTGATCGAGTTTTGCAAGCAAAATTCTCGAAACTGACTGGATGTGAACTGCGAACCATTGTCTGTTACTATTGTTTCTGGCAGACCATGCTGAGCGAAGATCTGGTTAAGGAGTTGGATGGTTCGAGTTGTAGAGGGTGGTGCAATCGGCAATATCTCCGGCCATTTGGAGAAGGAGTCGACCAGTATCAGATAATTGGTACCATCTAGGGGTCCAGCAAAATCAATGTGCACTCGCGACCAGGGTTTTTCCGACTTGGGCCAGGGTACTGGTGGCAACTTAGGAGAATGTTTTGCAGCTGTTTGACAATGTGGACATGTTTTGACGAAGTCGACAATTTGCTTGTCCATATTCGGCCAGTATATACAACCTTTTTTTCTATATATTACCACCATTAAATTAACTACTTCTATGAATCCGGTGTTCATCTTGTTGTGCTAACGAGGTATGGCAACTTGGACTGATGCATAAATGTGCCTGGTCCTACGTTGTAGCTAACTGACTGACTGATTTACATCAATTATCTTAACTCGTGCTTATTGTTTCTGTCTCATGAATTTTTCTAATTCTTTTTCTATGCACTTAAAAGTGTAATGTCTATACTGTACTCGCGGGAATCGCTTTGCTTTCAAAATGTTCCGAAACATTTGTATTTTGATATGATTTGAAATAGCAAAATATTAAATTCGGATTTACTCTGTTTATAACTGAAGTGTCTAGGTTATAGTTAGTTTTCTTTGAGTTCAAGCTTTGTTTTATCTATTTATCTCAAACTGGTTAGACCTGTATACGATACATTTAGCTGACAAGTTATTATGTGCAATAATGTTCTCCGTTCCTCACTATATTGTTTTGTGTTTTTAATACGTCTACCGTCAAAGTAGACAAATGAGATCAAAAAAATTCAAAAGTCTAAATCCATTTAGGTCAGTTATGATTAGTTCAAAAATTTTCTAGATTCATCTGTCAGATCATGAATAACTCTAACAGTGGTTATTTAAATATCTGAATCACTTGTCTATGGATTTACTGGCAATACATTTTGCGCCGTAATGATACTCACTGTTGTTTAACGAACCGAGGCTTCTATTGTTTTTTTATTTATTACAAACATTTTTTAGCCATTTGTCGCGCTGTTGATCCTACCGCTGGTGTAATTTATTTAACGACTGGTGTTTCGGAGGATGATTTGTTGAAAGTGACAGGAATTCTACGTGGTAATGTCAACTTACCCAATTGTTTTTTCCAAGATCAGGTATAAATGTACAAATGTTTTGCATCATATAATTCCCTTTTTTAAAAAGACTTATTCTCATGACTGTAAAACCTATGCAGTTGCTTACTCGCATAATTGTGTAACCAAATAGTAAGTTTCTGGGGTATTCTCCTGCAAACCTAATAATCAGTCTATACAAATACTTTTTTATTTCGTTTCGTGATTCCACATTGTATTTAGTGTCCTTAGTTGCGACATTCATTATCATTACACTGTGTTAAGTATTATACAGGCAGTTCACTTTCATTTCCGGTAACATTTCGGAAGTGAAATATTCAGGAAAATGTCCATCATTACATTTCTCTAGTCACTTTTATTCAAGTAGTTTGGCTCATAACAAACTATTATTTGATTTCCACACTAATCAATGTGCCTTTGGGCTTAGAAACTAATTTATCTTCCAACACACACTCATCTACCAGGATTATTCCTTCAATTATTTCTTCTTAATTTTGAATGATGTCGTATGTATCAGCCGTCATAAATTTCCACTTGTTAACTTGATGTTAAGTGGATGGAAGTAGTCAGTAGTAACTTGAGAAATGTATACCGTTTGTTTTCTTATTCTTGTATCTCTCATTCAGTGCCTGGGTTGTTATCTCCTATCTATATAAAACAGATTTAATTCATAATACTCTGGAGTTATTCCCCACCGCTTACCCTTGATTTTTTCTATTCAAAGAATGTAAATATTGACGCCACATAAAAGTATTCCCAAGATATTAGACTGAACAACTACTCATTAATGTGTAACCCCGTACCTTTTAAATACTGTATAGTATGTTGTGCACCACTCTTTTTCCTTTCCAAATGATCCAGTTGTTGGTAGTTTAGGTGACAGGTCGCGCATAAAATTAACTGATAGAGTATGAGTATTATTTGCTTAGCAGGATAAAATGTTCTCCGTTAATATTAATTCTTTACATATTTCAAATTATTAGTTTGTGCCTTTCTGCCTTGTATGTTTTATTTCATGTCATCGTGTAACTTAATGCTATTATCAAACAAATCTCCACATCCTTTCATGTTCCATTTCTAGCCTTTCTTTCGGACTAAAGTTTATGAAGAAACACCCTGGTTCCTCCCCTACTTGGGTCCAGTCAGTACACAGGGAAAAGGACGTGCAGGTTTACCATCCAGGCGCTCTTACCCTAAAACAATGCATCACGTCACTCATCGCATGGGCACTTCAGAGATCATGGATTAACTTATTGTTTTTGGGGAACCTCTTTATGTAAAGATTTCATGGGTTTCTTTTAACCCGAATAGCTTCAGTCTGTTGTTGGTTTCTCTTTGACTATTTTTTATACCGAATACAATTTGATTAATACTTCTATACCTCTACATGCG